CCTGAGGCCCAGCTGCTGCTCTGTGGCGAGGCTGGCAGCCAAGCTTATGCCCAGCCTTTCCCAAAGCGGTCCTTTGATAACACTGATTACATTTCCCTCACTAGAGCCTGGGGCTGATTGAGCAACAGCCAACTTCTCTGGGTAACAAAGAGGAGGGGAAAGTAATCCAAACACAGGTTTTATTATAAAATCCAGGGAGTGAGAGAAGTATGTTTATTCTGTAAGATAGCACACCTGCTCAGGCCCGGGAGGCTCATTTCCATCAGTTGCCATGGCAAACTCGTTATACTTCAGGGCCATGTGGCTTTGTCTCCTTTTGAAATCTGGTCCTTGTCCTACCTTCCCTAACAACTCTAACACAATGACATGGAAGCCTGCGACAGCATAATTGATTTTTCCTTCTCTCTATCAGCAGTTCACATTTGTCCGGCACAGGCCTGAGTCTGCCGTCTCCTTTGAACTCCTTGCTAAACATGAAGGCATGCTTCGGAAAGCTATCCTCATTACCATTCCAGGTCTCTCTCTTTCCTGTCAGCAATAACAAAGCCTGCATCAATGGCCTCCTTCCTCCCTGCTTTACAGAGTGGCTCAGTTCCACGTTTTGCTGCTGATCCAGGTGCCCAGGCAAACAACTCTGGACTAAGAAGCATGCAGGAGAGAGTAAAAATAGAACAGCAGCTTGGATGCATACCAGAGCAGCTACTTCATCTCCACGAGCTTTGAACACTAAGCCTAATGGGATCCATCAGGCAGGAGTCCTCTCTCTCACTCACCTTCTCCCTCTCTTCCTCCCTCCCTTCTCTCCCCAGCTGCCTTCTTCCATCCTAGTGAAGGGAGCACAGGGAGGTCAGGCGTGGGACAAGAAAGACTTGTCCTAGCGGTTTCAGCTTACAAACCCTGAGAGATCTGGGGGCCCTGATTACGCCCTCCTGGCAAGAGCTTCTAGAAAAGAGTGAACAGGTCCAGAACTCATCACTTCTGCCAGGCCACGCCGGCCCATGCTTCTCATTGTTTAGCAAAGTGTCAACGCTTCCTAAACCATCCAAATAAATGTGACCTAAAACCACACCCAGAAGTTCCCTGAGAAGGTAAATACAGAAGTCAGCTGCTCCAGCATCCCTCCTGCGGGTCCCACCTGCTTGGCCTGAAGCTGTCTCTGAGCAAATCGGCAGTCACACCCCGAGGGACACTGACACCCACAGTGATCTACTCAACGCTGCTCTGGGAATCTGAAAGCATCTCTCAAGGAACAAAAAAACAAAACAAAACGGACGGGTTGGTATAAAGTTAGGAACATGCTGTGCTGCTTAGACACGGGTCTCCCAGAATGCTAACTATTCTGATTGAGTTCTTCGGTGCTGTTTATGCCTCATGGTGAACTGTACTGTTCCTGCAGCCAGCCCCGCCCAGAGCAGACCCAGACATTTCTCATTTCTCCAAGCACCACCTTTGTGCCATCAGAAGGCTGCAAGAAGAAGCATTTTCACAGTATTTAAAGAATAAAACCTTTTTTGTACACTATTGATGTTTTGGAGTTTGGGGCACGGGCATGTGCAAACACACACACACACACACACACACACACACACACTTTGAAAGAACTTGATCTAATCGCAGATTTTTGTCTGGTAGCTTCAGGAAGGTTCTGAGGCTTTTTTCAGCTGGCCTAGGGTCCACATAAAACCACTGCAAACTAAACATGCCAACCCGCTTCAGGAAGAGCCGTACTCCATATCATCACAGCAGTAATTAGTTCCCCGAAGAGATTCTCCCAGCACAAGTTGTGATATGATCATTTACTCTCCCAGCCACCAGAGGATGGAGGCGATCTTCCCTCAGGGCCCCCCTGTTGAGGAGGCTCTGTTTACTTCAGGGAGGAACTCTGTCATTGTCCGTAAGTCTCCCACTAAAACCCAGAAACTTCCACAGGCTCACCAGCCTTGACGCTGGAGCAGTGGGGTTGCCGCCCTGGAGTGAACTTGGACAAGTCACAGGTTTTTTGGATCCTGCCTCCTTCCTGCATGAAACAAAGCCGCAGTGTCCCTTTCAGACTGAAAATTCCATGACAGAACTAAATTACTTGAAAATGTTATTATGTTGCTGCTTTTCCTTTCTTTTTGTTGTTGTTGTTGTTGGGTTGTCTCATATAGAGCCTTCCGTGCCGAAAAATAGCACAAGATTCTCTGTGATGAGAGATGGAGCTGCTTTGTGGCATTTTCCCCAGGTTAATCTACCTTCTCATTTCATCTGCTACTAGGAGAGGGTCTCCCAGATTCTACTAGGTACATTAAAGAGAAACAGAACGATCCTGTGGTTTGAAAGGCTCTTTCTGCATCATTTCAATGATCACAGGACTTGGCAACCCATTTGGCAAAGGTGGTGGTGACAAAGTGGATATGGTGGTTGATGGAGGAAAAATGCTCTTGGCAAAACATCCCGAAATAAGGATGGAAATTGCAAAATGGAGAACTTGTGTCCCCTGTTGAGTTGACTCGGAAAAACTCAAGTCATCGCAGGGGTGATTTTCTTGAGGGGAAAGAAGGTAGAGAGTATATACAGCAATGATTCTTCTGATCACTGAGCTGACAAAAAATAGTCCAGCACTTGATTGTAGCCCTGTGCTAAGACATCTTTGAACTGTATAGAAGTTAAAATAGACAGGCCAGTATTTTGAAGCCAGTCACTGAAATGAAAATCAGCCACTAAATATCAAAAACAATCTAAAAATCTATAACCATTACACCTGTCCCCACACCAGTTTATGTATAACGAACATCACGGGGCCACAAGGTTATTTTTACCAAGTCAGCCCCATCCTTTTCCTACCCTCAAAATCTCTGCAAATGGATACACAAGGAGCAGGAGAATGTTTAAATAAACTAGGTGTTAATCTGAGGATCAGTGTTCTAAAATAATTGTAAAAATTCTTTTGCTAGTGGTGGTTGTCAGATTTCATAGACACTTCAGAGCCATGTTGTCACGTCTGTAGGTGAGCAAACACACACACACATACACACACTTTGAGGGGGTTGGTTGTTTGGCTGGCTTACATTTTGTTTGCTTTGCGACCACTGCTACCAACTGTAACACTTTAGGGATTGTATGTGGCATGGGAAGGACTTTTCTTTTAATCACTTGGGATAGGAAGAATAGAAGGAACCAGTGGCTGAAGGCTTTGGAAAAGTCTTTGAAGGGGGAGGAGGGTTAATAACATTACATTCTAAATCTTTGCAAACTGGAAACATTTCAAGGAAACAATTGCTGGGCTATTTCTGCAGGTGTAGGATCCTCAGTAATGGCCTCACCTAACCCAAAACAATAATGAAGAGAGAAAAAAGATGAAGTTTGTGCTTGGAATGTTTTCCAGGAACTCAGAGTTGGCCAAACAAGAAAATTCTATTAGGTCTCAAATGCCACAGAAGTAATTATTATTTCCATAACATCATACAAAATGAGTACTTAAATTATGCTAGTTTTTTAAAAGCATTTACTCAGTGGTACAGTAGATCAAACTGTACTCTAATTCATTAGCAACTTTTCTTATTTGTAGTTAAAAAGTATCTTTTTCTAGAGTGACATTTGAGGGCTAACTATCTTACAACAAAGTTGAAACTTGTTTACCAAGTTAGGCACAGAAAGGAAGCAATAGCTCCCATCGCCCAAGCATCTTATTATTGACCTAGTGGGCTGTAAAGCATCTTCGTCCTTGTAAAACAAATTAAAGGCCAGCCTGGGCTAAGCAGTTATAGGGCTGCCTGAACTGCACAATAATACTCTTTTCTAAATAAATTAGCAAAACCCATTAAGGTATATTCATTGTTATTTTGAGTCAGTTAATTTTTGTTTTTTAAAAGCTGGTTAAATTTTAAGAAAGAAAATATAGTATGGTGTGGTGATTTGAACAAGAATGGCTCCAAATTCATATATTTGAATGTCTGGTTCTCAGTTAGTGAACCGTTCTGGAAGGATTAGGAAGTGTGAGCTTGTTGAAGGAGGCGTGTCACTGCAGGTGGGCTTTGAGGTTTCCAAGACAGGTCCAGTCTCCTCTCTCTCTGCCTCCATCTTGCGGATAAGATGTAAGCTCTCAGCTTCTTACTACACCGGCACCCTGGTGCCTTCCTGCTGCCAAATATCCTGCCAAGGTAATCACAACTGTAATCCAAAACTGTAGCAAGCCCCCAATAAAATGCTTTCTTTTAAACACAGCCTTGGTTGTAGTGACCAGTAACTACGACACTGGGTATGTTGGTGTCTATCTCTCATCTCAGCACTTGGAAGGCCAAGACAGGAGAATCTATGTAAGTTCAAGGCTGTCCTACCACATATATTGAGTTCTGGGAAAGCCAGAACTACACAGTGAGACCCTGCCTCCAAAAAGCAAAACAAAACAGAGATAAAAAGTAAAATTAAATTTATCCCCTGAGAGATGTGATAGTAAAAACTAAAAACCCAGTTACTTCTCAAAAGAAAATTTAGAGTTTAGGTTCCACATTTCAGATCTTCTAGGTTCATTGGGAACACCTTGGTCCTATAATTTTACAAGTCCCCCCAAAGGGAAAAGGCTTGCTTTAGTCACAGTGCTGCTTAGGACTAGGACAAAGATGAGAAAACTAGACCACAGCTCTGCTGTGTGTGACACATTCCCTGCTACTTCCTACCTGTACTCACACATTTGACGTGAATGGCCAGACCTTGTTCTCTTCCTTCAGTGCTGCGAGCTGAATCCTGGACTTGCTACATGCTAAGTTTTCTACCACTGAGCTACACTCCCTGCCCAATTAGACTGTTTACAACCAGGATTGTTTTGTTAAAACCTCAACTGCCAGAGTAAACCTTTCATTATTACATTGTAAGGACGTTTAACTTTCTGGCTTTCATCTTTTACTACAGAGAAATCTGTCACATTTATCTAATACTATATCTAAGCAGCTTTGTCCATGTCCCAGAGCTGCCCATTTCAATATAAGTTAATATGTCTGTGTCCACTGAGAGAAATGAACCACGTTCTTACAAAGAATTTTATTATTTGAGCACGAATCAGAGTGGTCTAAGGACACACAGCATCTGGCCAGCTCACAGCAGTGAGTTGGAGAATGTGAGAGGAGAGGAGAATGTTTGTGGTCATAGGCGTTTGCTGCCATCCCTTGTAGTGGCCACTTACTAACGTACTGGAGGCCCAGCATGAACAATTCAGACTCAGGCGGACATGGCCACTTGTGTGCACGTGTCTCTCTCTCTCTCTCTCTCTCTCTCTCTCTCTGTGTGTGTGTGTGTGTGTGTGTGTGTGTGTGTTTAAGGCAGGAAATACAGAGCAGAGCAGCCAATGTGTTAGGAGGCAGAGAACCCTGTAGAAGAGGTGTTCTGGGGCCTGAATGCCCCCTACGAGACACTGAAACAGGCCTGAGTGCCAGCAACCAGCCTCAGCCAGAAGAATGTTGTGCGGACAGGCACTGGGGCACTGAGCTGGAGATGGCTGGTGTCACAAGGGTACCACCTGAAGGGTGGGCAGGGGGCCGAGGGGAGGAGCCACATACTCTTCCTCTCGGAGCAGCCGCAGCAGGATGTTTTTCTTATTCTTGGGCCAGCTGTACACATGAGTGTTCTGCAGCCAGGTAGGTACATGCTCCTGCGGAAGAGAGGACAGGAACACATCACGGGAGAGAAGCCTGGACTCCAGATTCAGGGCTCAGTTCCGAACAGCTCTGGCTCGCCCTTCCGAGGCGTTCCCAGCAGGCTGTCTTGGGAGCTGCTGTTTTGCTTTTGGAGGGTTTAACATGCAAAGCACTTTTGGCTTCGGGTGCAAGCTGTGTATGTCATTATGGAAACCACATGTGCGCGGCGTTTTCTGTCAGTCTCCCAGGCTACCTGCCCTTTGCATGTGAACGTGCTTTTCACCACCCTCACATGAAAGGGGTAGGACAGAGGTCACACTGAATGATGGGGATTCCCCTGTGGCTTTGGGGGAAGGATGCCAGGGTTGTGGGCTTAATCTAATTCCTGCTTCTTTCACTCCAACCTCAGGTCTGGCCTGAAGTGCAAGGAGCAGATCTCAGAGCTGGAGTTCCACAGGCCAGTTCCAGCCTCCCTCAGGACTGCCCTCGTGGAGGACACGTTGTGGTGGGGAGTGAAGAGGAGGCTTAGGACACATCTCACAGTGGTGGAAATTGCTGAGCATGTTCAAAAGCAACAAGATCACAGTGGCTAGAGCAAAGCAAGTAAGAATGAGCAGGTGAGGAGGGCCAGAATTCAAGGGGGTGTATCAGTGAAGACCACTGGAAGGTCTTTGCTTTCATTTTGTGATGAGCTGCCTTGGAGACTATAGCACCAGTTTAGAGCCAGCACTCATGCTGAGTGCAGAAGATATTCAAGGAAAGGGACACAACTGTCTTGAGGAGTCAAAAATCTCACGTGGAGGCAAAAATCAGCATAAACTATTTTCCGGGTAATATTATAGCAAGTAGCTAGCATGTCCCAAGCTCTGGAAATAAGAAGACTGTCAAGTGGAATTAAAAAACAAACAAACAAACAATAGTAAACCCAAATATGTATGCATGATCCAGTGATTCTAAGCAATTGATACATACATACTTACATACATATACATATTACTGATTCAAAGTACTGTAAGTAACTAAAGGTCTTAGGGGGAAAGGGACGATGATTTACATAAGCATGAGAGGAAGAAGAACCTTACAGGCTAGAGAAGTTGTAAGAATACAAGGATAAGCAAGAGTTCACTAGGCCAATATGTGTGGAAGGGCATTTTAAGGAGAAGGAATAGAGGGGCAAAGATACCTAGACAGAAAGAACATGAATGAGACTTGCTGACATGGCCCATTTATGACCAAAGCACAGGGCAGCAGATGATACGAAAGGAGAATGAGTTGGTGGACACAGTCCTGTTCCAAAGAGCCTAATGGGTCATGTCAAGGGAGGTAACTGATGTCTTGAAGTCAGTGAGAAATGTGGGAGATACAGATTGGAGTTCTTTCATAGCAAAAAGATGGCTAATATAGGCTCCCAGATGCTATGGGGAGACCAGTAAAGAGACTCGATTAGTCAATGACTACATTTAATCCCTGGACAAGCTAGGGCCAGTGAGGATGAGGGGTCCTTTCATACACATTGTGTGCTGTCCAACCCTGTAGGCCCCACTCCCATGCACTGGGCTCTCCTTCACCAGGGCCAGAGGTTTCAGTGCAGTCCTAACATCTAGGAATCCCCCAGAAGGAGGCTGCGCCTATGCTCAGAGTGCTCCGGTCTGGGTCTCAGGCTGTTTACTTAGCTGCTGTCTTCCTTTTGCCAGGCCTGGAACATGTTCCCTGATGGCTTGGCTTGCATTCTCCAAAGCTGTCAGCATGCCCTTTGGAATATGATAAAAACCCTCATGTGAATCCCAGCAAGATTCACTTAGAGAGCCGTGTGGATTCGGTGCCTGTACTTTACAAATGTGAGGACTGAACTGTGTGCAGCAAAATCTTTATGTGGAGCAGAAAGCAAAGTGCCCGTGCTTTGGTTCTAACAGGTGAGAGGTAAGAAGCTTCAGACAATAAATGCTCTCATGTTCTTGAGTATTTCAGTGTTTGATCCGCAGTTGCTGATGCTGTTTCGAGAGGCATTGAGGTATGGTGAGGCTGGAGGAAGCATGTTACATGAGCCAGCTCTGAAGTTTCCAACGCCACACGCCCTCTGCTTCCTTGTCGTCATTCGGGATGTGAGCCGTCGGCTGTTTCCAGCTCTAGATGCCATGCCTGCCTGTGGCCACACCTCCCCACCATGACAGTGATGGATCTTACCCTCTGGAGCCATATTCCCCAAATAAACCCTTCTATAAGTTGCCTTGCTCATAGTGTTTTATCAGTCATAGAAGACTAATTACGCATAAGCCGTTCGTTTGTGTGGGCAGACTGAGCAATTAGGACAGGCACGGTCCTGCCAGATAACACTTGCAGACCTTTCCAGACCTTACTGCCCAGCTCAGTGTGCCACCTGTTGATCTTTCTGGTATCACTGGTATCTCTGAGGGCTATCAAAGAGCTGAGAAAAAATTTCAACCTAATGTCCCAGGTAGCCATCAAACCAGATTTGAAAAACAACAACACAATTATTTGAGGATTCTTGTTTGTTTACCTTCTTGGCATTTGGGAAGAGCACAGGGATGAATCTGAAATTCATGCTTCCTTGATTTATGAACTCAATCTGCATCTAAAACCAAGCAAATATGAAGACTTAATTCAGGAACCAAGATAAGAAATTGATGTGCCAACAATACTAACAGCCCACATGGCAATTTTATTCTGGGTTGTTTATTTGAGAGCCCTATTATAATTTTAAACTCTCCCCGTTACACACTCTGCCATTTTTCTTGTGTAGACCACTATGATAGTTATCATTGGGTGTGAACTTGACTATATCTAGAATTAACTAAAAACTAAAAATGAGTGGGCACATCCATGAGGGATTTTTGCTTATTTACATCATTCAAAATGGGAAAGTCCATTTCTAATCCAGATCTTTGGGGTGGGTGGGAAGACACACCTTTAATTGAGATCTTTTGAAATGGGAAGACCACCTCTAATCTGGGCCACCTTCTGCTGAAAACCTATGTAAATGGAAAAAGAAAGCCTCTCCCTAGCACATCCATTCCTTCACTAGGCTGGAGCCTGCTTCTTCAGGAGTCCACTGTATACTGAAGGCTAGTAAGACATCTGGCTTCCTGGCTTGAATAACTGCTGAATTCTTGAACCTTCCATTGGTAGACAGCCATTGTTGGACTAGCTGGACCAGAGCCTTTAAGCCATTCTAATAAATTCCCTTTCTCTCTCTCATACATGCATACATACGTACACACACACACACACACACACACACAAATATATATATATATATATATATATATATATATATATATAGAGAGAGAGAGAGAGAGAGAGAGAGAGATGGATTGTCACTAGGATATGAGCCCTCAGTTCCGCTTCCAGCTCTAGATGCCATGCCTGCCTGTGGCCACACCTTGCTGTCATGATGATGATAGATCTTATCCCTCTGGAATCACAATCACAAGCCAAAATAAAATCTGCCATATCCATATATTATATATTATATTATGGAGAGAGCTCTGTTCCTTTAGAGAACACTGAGTAATATAGCCACTTACTAAAGACCTATTAAAAATCACCTTCTGGGGACCAGAAAGGTGGCTTAGCAGGACAGGTGCTTGCTGCCATGCCCAACAACCTAATTTTTACCCCTGGAGCCCACATGGCAGGAGAGAACTGAGTCCTGCAAGTTCTCCTCTGACCTCCATAAATTCATTTTCGTACATGCATGTGCCTGTGCATACACGCATGTACGTGTGTGCGTGCACACACAGATACACACAACACATTCATGAGAATTTTAAGTTATATTCTGGCCTGGACCCTGAATTTCTTCGTTGATTGCTTGGTTTGTTTGTTTGTTTGTTTGTTTGTTTGTTTGAGGCAGAGGCTCACATGTAGCCTAGACTAGCCTGAAATTCACTATGTAGCCCTCGTTGGCTTTGAACTCACAACAGTCTTTTGTCAGCCTCCTGGGTGCTAACTTTGAGTTTTAAAGATTAGGAGTGTGCAGAGGCTGGCTCACCTCGGTTCCCTATGTGTCCCTCTCCCAATTCTGTAGTCAGTGACCTTATATTGTCAGCTTTCAGTTGCTAAGTGTGAGAGTACTAATAACATGGAAATGGGTAAAGTGCTAACACCTAGGATTATTTGTTTGTTTGTTTAGCATTGAACCGCTGATACAATTAAGACACTCTTCCCAGAGCTATTGATCTAGTGAGCACGCAGGAAGGAAAATTACTAGCCAGAGAACAGCATGAAGCTTGTGAGCAATTGTGGGAGCTCGGAATTGGGCCTTTCTGTTCTGCATCAGGGAGTTTGAAGGACAGTAGCAGGAGGGGATCCCAGGGCATGAAGAAGGTTCTGGCCAGGTAGAAGAAAGTGAGGAGAAAGCAAGGGCAGAGAGAGCGTGAGCGCCCGGAGATGAGGAAGGGCATTAGTACGACGGGAGCCACCTAGCAATCCTCTTCTTCTGGAACACAGTTGGGCTTGGCAGTGGGGCTAGGAGGTCCACCATGAAGAGCCCACCCTGTCAGTTTTCACACTCTGCTCCCCAAGAGGACTTAGCTACAAGAACCCTATCAAAATCAGAATTTTCAGTGTCAGGAGTGTTAAAGGTTTCCAAATCCCAAGAGCAGCATGGAACTTTCAGGCATCTGAGGACAAGGAGAATAAAGAATTATGTTTCCTGAGCAATTTCATTCTCTCATTGATTTTTAGAACAGAAGCTTTTGTTGTGCATAAAAATAAAAACAAGAAGAAAGTGAATGTGAAGACACAGACAACTCTCTCTCCAACACCCACTCTCACAGATTCACACAACACATATCCGCCACAGGGCCATCTCCCTTCAAAACAGAAAACAACACCAAAAGCATGTGCCACATTGACTGGAGTACTGTGCACTTCAAGTACCAGCCATGCCATAGCAAAGTAAGCACCTGCAGGAAGGGTATGGGGATCTTCCAAGGTCCTGTGTTCAATTCCCAGCACCCACATGGTGGCTCACAACCATCTATAGTGAGATCTGGTGCCCTCTTCTGGTGTGCAGGCACACATGCAGGTAGAACACTGTATACATAATAAATCTTAAAAAAAATAGTCTCCAAGTGGGTTCCCTAGTAAGGGTAACAGGAGCTGTATCTGACATGAACTCAGTGGCTGGCTCTTTGATCACCTCCCCCGAGGGGGGCGCAGCCTTGCTAGGCCACAGAGGAAGACAATGCATCCAGTTTTGATGAGAGCTGATAGGCTAGGGTCAGAGGGAAGGGGAGGAAGAAGACCTCACCTATCAGTGGACTTGGAGAGGGGCATGGGAGGAGAAGAGGAAAGGAGGGTAGGACTGGGAGGGGTCGAGGGAGGGGGCTACAGCTGGGATACAAAGTGAATAAATTGTAATAAATAAAAAAAGAAATTAAAAAACTGTAAGCAAGCCACAATTAAATGCTTTCTTTCATTAAAAGGGGCTGGGTTTCGTTCCTGTCTTCAAGGGCACTGTGTACTCTATGATTTGTCCACTAGGCTCCCTGGTCTGTCAAGGACTAGCCCTCGGCAGTGTGTTTTTATTTTCTCTCATACTTCTTTCAGATACTGCCTTTCTAATGATGCAGTTTGATTTGTGTTGTAATTACTCATTGGTGCCTGGAGGAGGCCAGGAAGTCACCCTGGGGATATTGGGATACTGATGGCACAGCCAGTCCCTCCTATGATGGGGAAGAGCCAAAGCCATTAGGGCCAGGAGACCAAATTTGGGGACCACATGGTCATTAGGTTGAACTCTGTGTATTACTGGCTAGCCTTGCCATACACCAGCATAACTAAACAAGTTTCCTCCAGGAACTGGTAGGGACCTGGAGTCCTTCCCAAGTACCAGCTGCTTGCTCCTGGGACTGGCAGGTTCTTAGAGATGTAAACAGAATGTCAGTGTTCTGGGAATGTGCAGACATGATACAGACAGCACCCAGAGCCAGTTCTGACCTTTACAGGTCAGCTTATTTCTAGGAGTAGTTTTCAGAACCCTGACCACAGGCTAGCACTGAGTAAGACTGGACCTGAGGCAGACTTAGCTCCACCCTTGAATCTTACAACCTTGCCTCAGCTTCTGCTTTGGGTTGTAAACTCAAACAAGTGGTCCACATTTGGTGGAGGGGGTGACAGAGTTGAAGACTCGGTTGACGAGGACGATGCTTACACACCCGCTCTGCCCTCCTCCTGTGCTCTGGACTCGCAGGATGGATGGCATTTAACTTTGCTTCCTCTGAGGTAAAGGTGGCCTGACGCTACCTGCCTGCTTCCTGCCCTGTGCTGCTGACTTAGTCTAAGTATCTGGGCCACTTCCAGAGATACATTATGCCACGTCCTCATGCAGGATGAGAACCAAGTTGGGCTATGAGTTCAAGTCCAGTGACTTCCTTCTCTTTTCCAAATCTCAGAATCCTTGGTAAATAAACAAGCCAGAGAAAGCAGCTCTAGATTGAGACGCTCAGGGCCAGTCCCACCCAGACGTATAGTTACCTATTAGGCATTCCAGAGGGTGGAAAGTCACAGGGCTATTCTGACTTCCTAGTTAAACAGAAATGGTCTCCGTGGTGTCTCTCAGCCCACAAAGGACACGAAGATAGATAGGCCATAAAACTGCTAGTTCTAAAGCTGGGTGGTATTTTCCTTTAGATGCTGAGCAAGTTTGATTTCTTCTAAGTTTTCCACATGGTTTAAGTTTAACCAGGCCCCATGGTACAGGTTTGACAGTAAAATGCTGCCCACCCATCAAAAACTAAGAACAATCTCTTTGGTTAAATATTTTCTGTGTGCCAAATACTTCAGACATGACCTCATTTATCTTCAGAGCCCTGTACGTAGTAGTGATCTATTTTATGAACAGGATCGCAAAAGGGCAAGATTTAAGTACTTGGGCCATGGTCCCATAGCCAGCCCTTAGGAAGCTCTACTGGTATGACAGAGGTGGCCTCCTTACACTGCATGTTGCTCTTCTGGAAAAGCAAGGGATAGAATATAACAGCTACAGTAACCCACTCACCTCGCCACTCACTCTTCTGTCCTCCTAAGGCCTCACACTTGTTGGTAAACAGCTAAGCGAACAGAGCTCTACTTTCTGTATCCAAGAAAGAGTGGGGTTTCTCTCAGAGTATACAGAGCCATAGCCAAAGTAACCTCCTCACATGGGAGGCCTGAGAGTCTTTCCGTAGCATCCTGTCACCTTGAATGAAGAAGCAGCCTCCCTAAGAGAGGCTGCCTGTCCTGTGGGAGCAGCCAGGCACTGTGGTCCGCTCACCACTCACCAGTCGATGAATGTACTTCGTGTGTAAGCCATGCTCATCGTCGTCCAGCTGCGGCTCAGCGCCTTCCACATCCTGTTTGTATTTGGGGCTGATTGCTACGATTATCATCACTGTCTTCTGTAATGAGAAGGAGAAAAGCATGTTTATGGGAGTGGGAAGTGTGGTTCATTTGGTGAAGACCAGCTGGAAACTGGCCAGCAGGACCATGAGCCGCCCCTGACCTGCCAGTGGGTATAGAGCCAGGGCCCCTCTCTTTGAAAGCAAAAGGCACCAGCCCCCATACAGGCATGCTGTCATCTTCAACCCCCCCCCCCCATGGCCTCTATGCCCAGCACCCAACAAACACGCAGAGCAAGCAGCTCTGAGAGGAACTCTCCCATCTTCCACAACCTTCCCTAATAAACTTCTAATGAAAGCCTAAATCACTGAATCTGCATGGAGGCAGAAAGGCATCGCTGCCGCAGGAAGAGTGCCCTTCCTCCCTGCTGCCTGATGGGAGCTGTCAGTCACTGTGCTCCTCCGCTGCCCTGCTTTTCCTGTGCACATTAGCACAGGCAGCAGGAGCAGACCCTTCAGCACAAAGCCAACACCAGGCTGCAGACAAAAGGAAAGCGGCAAAACCCCAGCCTGCTGAGACTCCCACCCCCAACCCACTCCTGCCCAGCGAAGCACCTGGACCTGGACATGCTGGCAGCAATCAATTTCTATCTTGTTAAAGCACAAAGTGTCCCAGTGGCTAGTATAGATCCTGTCTGTGGAAAACGAATCACAGGGCTGCAAGTGGGTGCCCTGGGGTGGCATACTCTGTAGCTTGTAAGCCTGCCCAGAAACCTCTTTAGCCCAGTCCTACAAAACACTTGGAAAGGCCTCCAATTCAGCTGGATTCTGCTGCCCCCACCTTCATTTCCTCCTTCCCTATTCTGGTCTAGAAATTGTTTGCGCTGATTGTTATCAACCACCTGTGTCTGGTTTGACCGTTATTTCCTGCCTCTGCATGTCCAGGAGGGCGACCCCATCCTTCCTTTCCAAGTCTCTGCATAGCTTCCAACAAGAGAGGCTTTGTCCACACTTCCTCGGGCTCAGACTCTGGGAGAGTATCAGTGTTTCTTCTGTGAAACAGCTTCACAGGCTGATTGTTTTTCTCACCAGCACACATCCTCAGAATCTTGGAATATACTTACATCTCGAAGGTAGCGCTCCATCCATTTAATGATATCGATACCTCGGATTCTATCCTCAAATATATCAATCTACAAGAAAAGGATGTGAGGAAGGGCTCTTAATGAGAGCTCAAGAAAACACGAGAAGTTGCATACACTTGCAACCCTAAAACTAGTGCTCTCTATAAGGAGGAACACGTGAGTCCAAACAATGAAACACGAGTTTGTGAAATACGCCCATTTAAACATTCATAGATATTGAAGTATGTAATATCCATAATTAGGATATAGTGGTTCATTTCAAAATGTGTCTGCAGCTACACAATAATTATGTGTTCAAAAATATGAAAGACACAGTATATCACTAAATTGGATACATCCACAGAGGCTGAAACAGTACATTTATGTACCCATAATTTAAAAAAAATTGAAAGGCAGATTCTGGAACTTTAGTGGATATGTTGGGTGCAAATGCTGAGAAACAACTCTGGTTAGTCGGGTCATGATGGCGGTATTATGCCCAGCTTCAATTATACACTTCAAAAGCGTTGTACGAAACTTGGATGAAAGCCAAGGAACAAAATGACTTAGCTAGTGGGGTGGGGTTAAGGATGAAAGTCAAGGAGAACTCTAAGACGCAGATTAGTATTATTAGATAATACTCCTTCAGGTACTGGAAATGCAAAAACATCAAATCACGTGTCTTATAGAAAGCCAAATCAATCTCTCTCTCTTCCTCTCCCCCCTTCTCTCTCTCCTGGAAGAGTGTGTGTGTGTGTGTTATGTACACAAGGCACCCCTGACTGGAAGAGGGAATGTATTACACACTAGAGTAAAGGTCTTTGGGGGACGGTTTGCTTTATTAGCCTCACTATACCCATATTAATTATCCTAGTGTTACCCTGCTGACCGTCTCAGCTATTCATCAAGCATCCTGAATGAGCTACTATCTTTTCCCCACATGCTCGCTCTACTTCACTTCTCACATTAGTTCTCTTGTGCCCTAACAACACAGCATAAGCCCCTCTGCTCTGTAAGTCACACTGACTTCCTTTTCACCTCACCTAACTCTCACACATTATGGCCACTAGTAGCAACAACACATTATAAAATTCTTTCCTTTACTCCATGTGTCATTTATGACCTCCTTGTCCTCCTAACGTGCTTCTAAGCTCCCTATAGAAAAAGGTTGTGTGTTTACCTAACTGTCCCACCTATAGGGTACACAATACAAAACTCAATGTATTCTTTTACTGATAACATTAAAAATGGAACAGCTTTCCTCTGGGTTGGATTTTTGTTTTCAGACAAGGTCTCACTATTGCCCTCGCTGGTCTGGAACTCACGATGTAGACCAGGCTGGCCTTGAACTCTCAGAGAGCCACCTGCCTCTGCCTCTGGAGTGTTCGAACTAAAGACATGTACCCCTGAACCCAGCTTGCTTTTGTTTTAGTATGTTAACATCCAGCATGGTGGCATGTGTCTTCTATTCCAGGGCCCGGAAAGCCGATGCAGGAGTTTTGAGAGTTTGTGGCTGTTATGTTTTACACTGAAAAAATGTCTCAAGTAGTTAAAAAAAAAAAATCAACCAACCAAACAAAACAAGATAGAAGGTATGTGCTGGTCAAAGACTGCACCCACTCTGTGATGGTGTCAGTAACATTTCCATTTCAGAGTAAAGATAGGCAGCTCTGGTTGTACTCCTGCCTCTGCCAATTTCCACCTAGAGGACTGTGCTTATGAGAACTTACTGGCAACGTAGAAAAGCATGACGTCACCATGCCAGAGATGGTCGCTATTATCCATCATGGAAGCTGTTCCTGTGCTACAGACACAGACATTCTGGGAGGCGTCTGCTTCTCTAGATCCCCATCAGAGTCTACTGTACCTGTCATGACAAGCTTTCCACACTGCTGTTGTTAGGAGCTGAACTGTGTCCCTAGAATGCATATGTTAGCTGGAGGTGGTGGCTAACACTTTAATCTCACCCCTTGAGAGGCTGATGTAGGGGGTTGTCAGTTTGGGCAAGAAAGTGAGACCCTGTCTCAAAAAAGAAAATAAGAATTAATGTATTGAAGCTTTCTCATTACCTCATAATGTGACTGGACTTGGGATGGGGGCCCCTCAGAAGATAGTGAGCCCTACTCCCATAGGTTGGTGTTCATAGAAGAAGAGAGAGTTGGTACACAGCTCTGCGCATACACATGGGAGGGACCATTTGAGGATTGAGAGAGGATGGATATCTCAAGCCAAGAAGAGAGGATTGTGGATAAAACCAACCCTGTTTCAACCGTGTTCTTGACCTTCCGGCCTCTAGAACTGTTGAAAATGAGCTTCTGCTGAAGCCACCTTAGCTGAGTATTTTATGGCTGACTTACACAGCTACGCTCTTCAGGATACAGGCAACATCTCCCTGTCCCTGTCCCTTTAGTAACTATGTCCTGCTAGTGGCAGGGCATGACACTATTCCCTAAGAATTTCCTAAAACCGACCCAAACCTTTATGCTGTTTTTGTTGTTTTAATTAAACCCCCTTATGTGACTCATTGTTTCGTTTTACTAAGAGGATCTCACTGTGTCGATTGTAACACACAGCTGTTAATAAACATAGGCTTCTATAAGTAAGGGTCCAGCGCACATTTAAATTCCCCCTGAACTGCCTCTGACCATGGGTTTTTTTTAAAGGTTAAAAACTACTGTCCAGGGCCAGTCAGAATCCGTGTTTATATTGGGAGAGGAGGAAAAAGTAAGATCTTGTGTGTTGCTTCGTGTCTCATAATTTGATTTTTATGTCAAAGTTGCCCCAGTACTGTCTTATTCTGGAAATGAGAAAGTGAAATGTTAGTCTATAGATCTGTGAAGCTGGATTATATAAATTGTAGGCATCTTAAAAAAAATTAAGTATTTCCATTTTTAAATGTATTATGGGGGGTGGGAAACTCAACTAAAAACTATTAAACAACCAGGCAGTGGTGGCGCATGCTTTTAACTCAGGAGACAGAGGCAGGCGGATCTCTGTGAATTTAAGGTCAGTCTGGTCTACAGAGTAAGTTCAGGGTAACCAGGGCTACACAGAGAAACCCTGTCTGGATAAACCAAACCAACCAGACAGACAAAAAAGTAAACCAAACAAACAAACAAAACAAAACAACCCCCCAAACCAATGCTAAGCAACTTTTTTACTTCCCTCTAACCTTTACTGACTCTTCACTCCTCTCTGGCATTCACTGCTGCTGACGGCCAAGGAGAGGCCTCTGGGAAGGAAGCAATCTCAATGTTTGAGGAGAGCCAGTCTTCCCAGGAGCAACCAGTGATATTTTGTTTATCCTAAGGAAGGATGTGCATGGCCCTAAGCTGCACTGTTTCAGGGCTTGGCAGGGAGACAGAAAGATTATGTGCTTGAGAATTTGGGGGCCAAGATGACAGGGAACCTACAGGAGTGAATCAGGGCCATCTCTCCTCAACCTAGACTCGGCCATGTTTTCTCTGTCCATACTCTTCACTCCTGAAGCAAGCTGTAGAAGGGCAGCTCTGGGCAGTGGGAGCCCAGGTTTCTACTTCAAACCTTGTAACCCAGTACAGAACAGGAGGGTCTGGTTTAGTGCACAGCTAGTTGGTGAGCTTCCAGCTTCCTGTGTCACAGGTTACATATTGTTGGGTATGGGGGGTATGGCTGGTGGGACAGGGTAAAGGGAGAGAGTGCAGCCAAGGCCAGGCCTTTCCTTCAGTTAGGACCAGCCAGACCAAAGGTGGGAATTGCCTCTATTATGGGCTTTTAGAGAAAAAAAATGTTGGAGACTTTGGCTAGTTTACAATGTGGAGGAATACTTGCTCTAGCCTTGACTCCCAGCACCAAATAAATAAATAAACAGATAGATAGAAAACAATTATCCAAATCCATAAGCATTTAGTTCATAATTACATAAATAGTAAAACATTGCTTAAAGCATCAACAACTATTTATACTTTTTCTTCATCATCATTATCATTGTGTTCAATTGAACTGTTCAGTTTTCTCTTTGAATAAAATACTTACTGCAGTTTGGAAGCCATTCACCAGCAAAAAGTTCACAAATTTCACCACCTCCATGGCTGTGTCCATAGAATAAGTGATAAAGACTTTCCCTAAGAGAAAATGTTCATAGTTGTTGAAATTAATCAAATTATTCTATTCTACACCGCAGTTCTAAGTAGTACGAGTTGCCTTATGTGTTGAGGGTGGTCCCCTTTGTGTTGTGATGTGGATTGCTCTCATCTGTGACAAAGGCTGGGACCTTTCCAAGAGAGTGCAGACTGTCCACAGTGAACAGAAGACAGAGGGATAGAGTAACGGCAGTCTGAGACAGGCCTCAGGGGTCCTGGAACACCACGTGAGATGTTAAACCATCTACCACCCACAGTCGGCATGTCCTTTCAGCCCAAGCCACTGCCTCGTTTCTTAGAGACACTTGGCCCTGTGCCCAAGGAAAATACTCTCACAGCAGGCTAAGAAGCTCAGGCTTGCTAAGGGGCCACCCAGCAGTGTCTGCCTTTGATCTCGTGATGCTCTCTGCTGCCCTGAACTCTTGTCTGACAAGACCAAGTAGGGGGTGAGGGAGTAAGTGTTTCCTTGCCCCGCCCCTCCCCCACATGGACTCATTTTGGAGAAAGGTCAGGAAGCAGGCGTAGACTGATGCCCAGATCAGAAATGTTGGTGCAACTTCAGCAGTTTAAAGGGGAGACAGTGCCTCAGGGCAATTCAGCGGTGCAGGCTCCCTCTTTCCTCCGTGAGCCAGCATGGAGCCATAGACAGGACCATTTGGGCAGGCTTTCCCTACCCAGCCAGAGCCGCAGTTTCCTCAGACTAAATAAAGTATGGGGGAAATTACTTCGCTGGCAGTTTGCTGTAGTAGATTCATCTCTACATGTTGCCTTTTAGTCTGGAGTGAACCAGTGAAAGCTCAAGAAACCCTGAGGCAGAGGAGATAGAAAGAGATGCCGAAGAGAAGATGAGTTGGTGTTTATCTGTGCTCAGATTCCTCAGAATGGAAGCACAGGTCTCACATGGAAGCGTGTGCACTGTGTGATGGTGGAAGGAACCAAGCCATCAGGCATGTGGGTGGGGCTTGATCCTTTCCCACCTCCATATGTACTAATTTTACGACTCCCTTCCCAGACCACAGTAAGATGACAGAAGGCTGGGACCGTACTCCATGTCTTTTTTTTTTTTTTTTTTTTTTTTTTTTAATTGAAGTGTATAAGATTTTAAGATGCTCAGGAACAAAACTTTTGCATGAAAACTATAGTGATCATTGCCATAGAGATCCTTCAGAGCTGTAGGTGACTTCAATAGAGATTCAAAAGAAGCAATCAGCAAAGCAAGGGCCTCAGGTTCGGTTCCGAGTGTCCCAGATCATTCTCTAGCCTCTCCAGCCAACAGTGGGCCTCTCTAGCCAACAATTCCTAAGTAGTGACTGGTTTCTTAAGGCTTCCAAAGCTAAGACTCTTAGCTGGCCTCACTCTCAGAACATCCTGGTGTTGTGTCAACATTTCTGGATCTAGCAGCAAAATGTGGGAAACGAATCACCACCTGACATCCAATGAGCTATTTCTTTAAATAAAAGGCTTAAGTTTGCATTGGGATGTGAAGCAGTGTGAGGAACGTAAGGTGTTTTTTTGTTTGTTTGTTTGTTTGTTTTTGTTTTTGTTTTTCAAACAAGACCGCTCACTCCTACAGAAAATGACCTTGCTCTTGATGGCTGCTGCTAATTAACAATGAGACACTAGTTTTCTACCGGCACCACATGAGCATCCCATCCATCTAGCGGGGGCACATCACTGAAGAGCATCACTTAGATGAGCAAAGAAGGGAGGGGGCTGGTTGTTGTTTCCAATTTGTTAAGGGAAATCCAGTGGTAAAGCAGTTCGGGAGCATTGCTTGTGAGGTTAGGATCATGGCAAACACTAAGAAATGGCTGGGTATTTTTAAAGCAAAAAGGGAAAAGGTAAATTCTCTAACTGAGATTTTGGATGTAGTTACTAAGCAAACTCTCAAAGCATAAAACCCGAGAGGAAGAAACCACATTGCAAACAACTTACGTAATTCCTCTGGCAAATTGCTGGTTTTCAGAGTTCCTCTGGCTAAGGGGTTGCTTGGGGGTCTAGGCACAGCTGGTGGGGAGGCAGCCCAGGGACCTTGTGGTCTCAGCTCTGCAGAATGGTCCAAGGACTGGTCAGGAGCTTCAGCTCCATTAGATGTTGGGTGGTAGAGCTGGTCCCTGCAAGGGAGTTTTTATCTTCATTACAAAGGCAAACTCTGGGGAGACAGAAAGACCTTACAAACTGTGGGACCACACCAATGTGTGATCTCCCCTCTGCCTCCATCCCTTATCTGACACAGAAGGAAGAAAGGGTCCCACGGAGTTTCCTTTATAAACAAGGCAGCTGGCTGCCATATGTGAGGACCTGTGCTAGGGTCAAAAGAGGGAAGCAGGATTTGATTTCTCAATTCAAGGTCTGTCTAATTGGGAAAATAAATCCCATGTACAGGTCAGACAAGGTCACCAGCAAAACAAAATAGCATAATGGGTGACAGAGAAGGCTGACATTAAAGGCATTCAGATTAAAAAGACACAACTTTTAGCTCATGATAGATAACATTTGATTATGTTTCAAAAGTTTTTTTGTTGTTTGTTCTTTGATTTTGGGGTTTTCTTTTTCTTTTCTTTTCTTTCTTTTTTTGGTAACAAGGAGAGCTCAAGGAAGGGATGTGTAGATCTCACTGAGAAAGGTAAACAGAATAGTAGATTGGGAGAGGGTACTGGACAGGGCTGAGGTATGGGAATGGGAACAGGAGAGATCAGGTAAGGGGAGGATGGAGGGAGAGAATACTAGGAGAGACAGCCAGAATTTTGGAGGGGGGGCGTGCAGAATCTCTGGCAGGAGCTAGAAACCTAGGGCAAAGGAAATTCCCAGGAATCTATGAGGGCAGCCCTAACTAAGAGTCCTAGCAATGGGGAATACGGAGCCTGAACCAGACAGGACTTCCTGTGGAGGAATTGGGGCACCAACCTAGCCAAATAACCTTTGACCTACAATTTGTCCTGCCTACATGATGGGGGGCGGGGAGGGGGGAAGGTAGCACAGAAATTGTGGGAGTGGTTAACCAATGACTGGCCCAGACTGAGACCCATTCCATGAGAGGTAATCTAGGCCTGACACTGAGCCAGGAACCAGAGGCTGGATAGCCCAGAGACTATGCTAGAAACTCACACACACACAGATATCCTGTTATACTTATAGATTGATGTCTAGCCCAATTGTCGACAGAGAGCTTCACCTAGCAACTGATGGAAACAGATGCAGAGACCCACAGCCAAACATTAGGCAGAGCTTGAGGAATTCCATGGGAGACGTGGAGGGAAGATTGTAGGTTCAAGGATACAAGAAAACCCACAGCATCAACTAACCTGAGCTCACAGGGGCTCACAGACTGACCCACCAACCAGGGAGCCTGCAAGGGCCTGACCCAGGCCCTCCACACATGTCACAGTTGTGTAACTTGGTCTTCTTGTGAGACTCCTAACAGAGGGAGCAGGAGCTGTCTCTGACACTGCTGCCTGCCTGTGGGACCCTTCCCCCTACTGGGCCGCCTTGTCTAGCCTCAGTAGAAGAGGAAGTGCCTGGTCTTACAGCAAGTTGATAAGCCATGGCTGGTTGATATCCATCCAGGCTGAAGAGAGACGAAGGAGGAGTGGGTTGGGGGGGGGGCAGGAAATGGGGGGACTAGAGGGAGGGGAGGGAGGGGAAAACTTGGGTTGGGATATACAATAAGTAAAATTAAAAATTACAAAAGCATTTCTTTTGTTAGTCTGTAAGTGAAAAGCCTGACTGCTGACAGGGCATCTCTATTACTATTGTGCCTGCCAGCATTCCTATGAGGGTTGTGCCGAGGGGAGGGGGGACCATGGCATGCGTTCCTGTGAGCTTTGGGAAACAAAAGAAATGTGGGTCTTGTTCCTGCCACTTCTCCGATTTCTACTGGCAAATAGGCGTGTGTGTGTGTGTGTGTGTGTGTGTGTGTGTTGTCTGCAGAAGCATCCCAGTGTCCCCGAATGTTAAGGACAAGGCGTAGCGTCTCACTTGTGCCACCGCCTAGTGGGTATAGAGTGGCCCCGTCAAGGGGGCCAGCTGCAGCAGTTCGGGAGGAGGAGGCTGCAGCCTGTGGATCAGTCTCTGACCCTCCTCTCTAAGAGCCCAGTCTCCTGTATTAAATCCCCTCTGCCAGTAACAGCTACAAGAGGGCAGGTAAGATGGTGCACAGCTGTGAAGGCGTTTGTGCCAAGGCTGATGACCAGGGCTGGGTCCGTGGGAACCACGCGGTAGGAGGAGAGAGCCAGCCCCACAAATGCTCTGTCCTCCTGCCTGCTACGGCACGCAGACACACACACACACACACAGAAAGACAAGTCAATTAAAAAGTACAGCAGCCAGAACGCTTTCTCTCTTCTCTAACTTCTGATAGGAAAATTAAAACTATACCCATAATGTCTTATTTCTTTTAAAAAACTGGAGGCAAATATGGAAATAAGTTAAAATCAGGGTGGTGGAACCATGGTTGTCACTTATTTTATATTTTCAATAGTTTCACATTCTAAACTTTTAATGTTATCATTATAAGTCTGTGTACACGTCTAATTTCAATAGCTTTTTACTTATGTTTTTACCCAAAAGTAATTTTAAAATTCTTAAATTCATATGTAACATACTTAAAACTTTCTTTAAAAAAAAAATCACAAAATCTCAACTACATTTCTAGAGTTAGAATGTTAGGAAAGTAAGTTATTTAAGTAAGTATCTTAAGTATCTTAAGTAAGTAAATATCTTCTATTTTCATAAATATTGACCAAATAACACCTCTAAAAACATACTTTCAGCTAAAGGAGATTCATTTCCTTATTATTTATATTAAATCTTTTTATACACATAGTTACTTCATTATTATAAAAGATGATTACTTGCTTAAAAAAGAAATGTTAGGGCCTTGATAATTATAATGGCTAGTTTTATGTCAACTTGACACAAACTAGAGTGAGCTGAAAGGAAGGAACCTCCACTGAGAAAATGAGCCTGTAAATTCTGGCTGGAGGCAAGCCTATAGGGCATTTTCTTAATTAGTGATTGGTGGGGGAGGACCCAGCACACTCGGTGGTCCCATCCCTGGGCTGGTGGTTCCAAGGTCCTATAAGAAAGGCTGAGCAAGTCAGGATGAGCAAGACGGTAAGCAGCATGCCTCCGTGGCCTTTGCAACAGTTCCTGCTTTCTTCCCCAAGTTGCTTTGGTCGTGGTGTTTCATCACACCAACAGTAATCTTAACTGACACAACGATGTTCAAAAACTTTCACATATAGATAGTATCATGAGATTAGTGAGTGTGAACTTCTGGTATTAATGTTCTCCTTCCAGTTAGGGGTAGGAGAATTAGCTCCTTAGCTGAGCACTCTTCATCATCCTAAAATGATAACTCAGGGACACCAGAACAGGCTTAAATTAATGCTATAGACGCATTTGCTATGTAGTACCTTTCAACTCCCCTATAAATCTAAATGTTTTGTTCAAAATAAAGGTTTATGCTTATTTTAGAACTGGTTCAGTGTCTCACATCTGTAATCTTAGTCCTTGGGAGGCAACAGCAGAGCATGGCTGGGAATTCAAAGCCAGGCTTGACTGGTGAGTTCTAGGCTAGCCAGGGCTGATGAGTGAAACTCTCCGCTTCTCAGAAAACAAGAACACATTTAAAAGTATAAACCCCTAAGTGAAGATCCTGGCTTCAGAATGGCCCTCCAACTGTACAGAAGTCCACTGAGATGCACAGAGTTTTGCTGGGCAATGGTCAGGGTAGCTACTTTAACATGCCTGCGTTTTTATTTGTGAGTTTTACTGAAAGAAATTAAGCTTTTAAAGTTGACTTGAAAATTTATGATCGCATCCCCTTTTCAACACCAAATTTATTTGATAAAAATGCTTCTGTTTTGCATGGCTTCTTGTAATTTTATGTATTTATTTGTAAGATGTGTCTTGCTATGAAATCACATTTTACTTAATTCCCTTATTTAAACTCTGTATTTAGGAAAGGGAAGGATCCATCTGGAAAGGACTACAAAGACCCGTGGACCTTCCAGCAAGAGGAAGCAGGCATGGGCCTTATTTGCCACTCTTAATAAAATTGGCTTTTTTTTTTTTTTTTTTTTAACCCTCTTTGAATAAAATTTTTGAGCTAATTGCCCATTTCTTTATTTCGGAAAAATCCATTTTAATAGGATTTTCATATCTGACGCTTTTCTATATAAACAGAACTTGAGAGGCAGAGGGAGCTGGATCTCTGAGTTCAAGGCCAGTCTGATCTACAAAGTGAGTTCCACAATAGCCAGGGCTATACAGAGAAAGCCTGTCTCAACAAAAACAAGGAAACAAGCAAACAAAAACAAAAGAAAAAGTCTAAAGTTTGGCACAAAAGTACATGCTATTTGGGAGGGAGACTCAGGAGGACAATGAGTTTGAAACCACCAAGCTTCAACTAACTACATTGTTAGAATCTATACAAAAATCTAACTAAAATAAGGAAAGGGGAGAAGCCTGGTTCCTCATGGGTTTCTCTCTCAGCATACCATGCCGTCTTTCCCTCTTCTTCAGACTCTTGCCATGATGTTATCCACTATGATGGTGCCAGAGCCGAGATGGACTCCCTATCTTGGAACTTTGAGCTAATGAAGTATTTATCAAGTACTCAGCTTCAAATTCCTGGTTTTAGCAATGGAAAACAGACCAAAGCAAAGGGTTAGACAACATTTTGAAAACCCAGCACTATTTTTTCGGGGAGAAGCATAAGAGAGATGAATTTGTATGGATGGTTTTGTTACAAAACCACTCTGTCTCAAAAGAAAATAACAGGAAGCCAGATGTGGGGGTACAACGGAGAACCTTGTCAACCACTTTCTCCTGTGCTCTGACCCGGAAAAGTATGTGCGGGACATTTCCTTATGTGGCCGCACTGGCTTGGGTGGTGTTACAGAGACTCTCCATGCACCCTGTTGCACCGACAATCCTCTTCACGTCAGTACTTGTGGGCATGGGTCTTGCCAGACACATACCTTGGGAGCCTTGGGAAAGAGACGTCTCTCTGTGCAGGCCTCTCTTCTTGGTCCTGGGGGCTGGGGTAATTCAGGATGACCTTCTGCACAGGGTACAGACCTCTCACCCTTGCCCCAGGAAGGGCTTGCCCGGGCAGAGCAGGCTGGATGACTTGCTGGTGGGCTGCTGGAGGACAGCCATGACCATCTGTAGGTGACCACAAATAACAGAGAAGGTTGCCTCAACACCTTCACGCAAAAGACCATGCAAGCTCATTGAACGATTTTCTCTTGATAGCAACCAGGGGGTCCAAATATCAACCCACCTCCACGCTATATGTCATCTTTCCCTACTACTAATTACTTCATAATATTCATGAAACCAATATGCTTTTTTTCCCTATGTAAAAACATCTGTGAAAACACATTTGACATTCTAATTAGAAAATTCAAAGAACATTTTTAAGTCCTGTTTTAATTAAATACTTAGGATGGTCCAACCACGACGAGCCTCTCTCCCACCACTGGTCCTACCATAATTCCCCAGTATCTAGAACCGAGGGCTAGGAGAAATTATACTTGCAATAGGCTTAAGATTATTGTGCTGGATGTGGTACTGCACACCGTTAATCCTAGCACTGGGTGCACAGAGCTCTCAGAGAGATGTGAGTTCAAGGCCAGGCTGATCTACGTATTGACACTCTGTCTCAAAAACAAACAAACAAGAACAACAAAATTACGATGCTTTCCACCACCTCTAAGTGGACACACACACACACACACACACACACACACACACACACTCAGTCTTAATCAGCAAAGTATCTGCCGTGTAAGTATGAGGCCCTGAGTTCAAGCCTCCAGCACCTACTTATATATAGTTGGTCATGGGGCAGCACATGCCCAGTGCTAGAGAGTTGTAGACAGGGGAATCCCTGGGGCTCACTAGCTAGCCAGTTTATTTAGTGAGCTATTGGTTCAGTGACAGGCCCTCTCTTTCTCCAAAGAGAAGGTAGAGAGTGATTGAGGAGACACCTGACATTTCCCTCTAGCCTCTACATGCACATGCATGCACACACACACACACACACACACACACACACACACACACAAATATCAATTAATTATTTTAAAAAAGCAGTGATTAGAGTAAAGCCAGGGCTAACAGGAAGTGATGTCAATATGTAAACCTGAGAGAAAGTTGGTCCTAGGAAGCCCCCAGAGCAACGGGGTCCCAAGAGAAGGCCAGCTCAGCTGACTAGGCAAGAGAAATGGAAAATTCAGAGCTGGGAGAGATGCCTTAGCAGCTGAGAGCACTTGCTGTTCGTCTAGAGGACATGAGTTGTGTTCCCAGCAGCTCACAATGGCCGGGGACCCGGCACCCTCCCGAAGCCTTTGGTACACCTGTGGTGCTCACACACACATGCGCTCTTAAGTAGAAACTTAAGAGAGATGCAAGGGTGGGGGTGGGGGAGGGGAGGGCTCTTCGGGCAGTGCACAGGCCCAGAGGGCTAATGCTCGGGGACTGGAGAAAACCCGTGTGAAGCTCCGCCAAGAGGAGCCCACAAGTCCCTCGTGACCCAAGGGAACCCCAGTGACCCAAGCTGTTACCGCTACTCAGGACAGAAGCAAGATGAGCCAGGAAACAAAAGCAGTTGGGGCAAAAAAGCGTTTTAGTTTTAAAAAAACTATTACCGGTTTTAAATCCTTGCCTGACTTATCATAGTCGTTCTGTTTGCCTGCCAGGGTAACATGTGAGGGAGACAAAAAGAAATAAAACGGCAAAGAAGCAAGATAATGGCCCGGAAGTCTGGAGCAGGCAGGATTCGCCCTGCGTGGTCAAGGTGCTACCCTTGACCTCATCTCAAGTGAAGTACCAGAACAAGGAGGATGGCGTTGTCCTGAGTTTGGCACGCAGTGAGCATCCTTGGATAATTAAAAGGGGTCATTCGGGGGAATGGCGACCTCCAGCACAGAAGAGCAAACAAATACGTATATTTACTGGCATGGCTGTCTCCAAGTTCCCACCGGCTAGACTCAGAAACTTGGTTGGATGACCCTGGCAATTAACTCAAGCTAGCTTATCATGCCTGGCCAAACTCCCTGGAGCCATTTCATTGTTTGCCTTGACCCTCATATCGGCTGTATCCTTCCTACTGTGCTTCCTCTAGCAAAAAAGGGACCATGCCCCTCCGCCTAGGCTGTCTACTGATTTTGACACATGACCCTTGTCCTGCTATTGTTAAGCCCTGACCATTGCAAACAGAAGGTTTGAGGAGAGGGAGAAGAAAGGGATTTGCCCAGGCTTGTCCCAGCCTCAGGGCTGACAAAGGAAACCAGGACTAGAAGGGAGCTCTAAGAATGGGGAGACAAGACCACGGAGACCTCTGTGGCCTAGGACAAGGTCCATCGCTGAGGCTTTGCTCTGACAGCCTTTCTAGAGCAGGCCAGATAGATTCCAGGAGTTCTAGATTGCCAATGGGAGTTTCAGGGCACCAAACACTGTTACTTAGGCTAGAAAGGACCAAGAGTGGTCTTGCCATCATGTGACCAGACAGGAGACCAGCTGGACTTTAGATTAGCTCTGCATGGATTTAGAAACAGCTGTACATCCAGGCCTCTGCTGCACTTAGGATTCAGCTCCCGTGATCAGGTCCCTCCCTGTCACTGCTCTCATTTCCCATAACACTGTCACAGACTTACCACAGCCCACCTTCATCTTGAATATCCCAAGCTGGCCCCCACCACTGGGCCACTGAGCCTACTATCTTAACTCCTCAGAAAGATTTTGCCTTAGATCTTCAGAGATAGCTTCGCCATGGCTCTTTCTACCTGTTCAAGGAGCCCTACCCCTCGCTGAGTTAGCTTCTCCCTTCCCTGTTTCATTTTCCTTGTATGGGTTTTCTTGCTTTGCTTTATTTTGCTTTGCTTTGCTTTGCTTTGCTTTGTTTGCTATCATTCACCAAGCACAGTGCAGCCACATAGGCAGTGTTCAATAAATGAAAACTGAACAGTTAGTTACAAAGCCAACTGGAAGAGGAACCATTTTGAACTGCACAGCCTGCTTGCTAAGTCTCAGTTTGGTAGAGTGCCTACTTCTTGTCTGCTGTTCATTCTTTTAAAACTCAGTTTTGCCCTCCAGAAATGAGAAAGACAAGGTCAAAGAGGAGAAGCTGTTAGGGCCTTGAAAGCTTTTCGAAGGGAGAAGCTGAAAGAAACTTGAGTGAAGTTTTCTCTCTTTGGAGCCATTTTTGCTTCCTATACCATTAATGAGTGCCTAATAACATTTTATTTGCTTTGAAAGGACTAGCAAGCTCTAATCACAGGGTGTGTTCCTTTTCCAGAAGGCGGACGTTAGCGCTGTTAATCAAAAGCCTTTGAATCAAGGTCAGATGATCTCGAGCAGATTATTTCCCCCGCACAACATGTTTTTTTTGTCTCATAGCAACCAATCGTATCATTAAAATCACTAAGCACACGGGCTGAGAGTTTGTCTAGCTGTAACGCTCGGCTCTGAAATGGCCACCTGGGGTAAGATGTTCCACGGTGTATGCGGGGAGATGAAACGATCCACCTTTTTTAGAGTACCGACAACGTAACCCTCCATGTTGTCCCCTCACTTAAAACAAAGCCTGACCACCAGAGGGGCAGCCAAAATGAAGCCTTTCCTCTTGTATGCGGGACTTGGGCTGTTTTTGCCTGGACATTTGGTTAGTTGCACAGAAAAGTTGTTAAGTTAAAAGGTATGTTTGTTAGATAAATAACCATCTTTTCATCGCTCGAGTTTTCCTTTAGTTTGATTTTTTTTTTTTTTTACATTTTAATTTATTGTGCACAAGTACCTACACACATGCATGCTTGGAGGTCAGAGGGCAACCTGTGAGAATTGGTCCTCTCCACCCTGTGGGTCCCAGGGATCAGGCCGGGATCAGTTGAGCGGCAGGCACCCTTACCTGCTGAGCCAGACTGCCAGACCTCACTGCTAAGTTGCAACCATTGTTCCCACTCTGGTGACCAGGCCTTGCGAGATTGAAGCTGAGCACCCACCTAGGTTCTTTACACACAGGGCTACAGGGTCCGAGTTTCTGGTTCTCAGAGAGAGTTGTTTTACTCAGAATGGAAAACAGATCCGTTGCATCTGTCCTTCTCTGGCATATCACTCTCCCTGTTCCACCTCCTCTGGCCCTGCTGCCTTGTTCTTGGCGCCTTGGCAACATCCATCTCCTTGCTTCTTTGCCCTTCTCATTCTTTAGCTTTCAGCTCAACTCTCTGTTCAGTGAGACCCACTCTGGCTGCCTGCTTATTAATATCCGTTCCAGCCCCTGGTATTTCCTTTCTAGCGTATATGCTTTGTCATGTTGTGTGCATATTTCTACTTATTTTCTGTTTCCTCAGCTGGTGTGTTGTATTTGACACTACCTTTGTAGTACCTAGTAGAGAGCCTGGCAGACTTTACTGAGTAAAGTGATAAGTGAACGGGCACGTTCTATTTACAAGTCCGTTTTCCTCCCTTTTTTCTGTCCCTACTACACAATTAAAGATGGCCTTTTCAAAGACTTGATGGTATAAAAAACTCTACTGATGGTTGGAGGGCTTTCCTTTTCCCCAGAAGGGAGCCTTCTTCTTTTTATTCACTCAACAAATATTTATAGAACCTCTACTCCCAGGCACATAGCGAACAAAGATAAATATGATACAGTTCCCTTATGCAGCGCAAGATAAATAGAGACAGAGAGAAATCTGTGTGTCTGTAGGTGTCTGTTTTTCAACACAAACCCACTCGAGTCAGTGTGAGAAGAAGGGGAGGCAGACAAATCAGCAGCTACCCACTTGAGAATTGCTGCTCAAAAATAGCTTCCCACAGACTTGTCTTCTGTGCCTAAAATTCCATCAGGAGAGTTTACTCTGTAGGAGATGGAAGGTGGGTGATGTGATAGACAAATGACTTGCTAGCAGAGAAACTCCTCAGTTCCGAGGCGGTGTTGAGCACAACATGAAAACAGTGAGGATGAAAATCTTGCACAATCCTAAATGAGCACCCAGCACTGCCTGCTGCTCCTCAGTCTCGTGAGCCGCTTGGCCCCAGTACAGACAGTCTTCCTGTCACTGGGCTCTCACCACTTGGAACTGTAAACCAAGCCTTAAATGAGGTTTTCCATGCATCAGGGAAAACAGTCAACATTTTTCTTCCTTATTAAGAATGGTAGTAAAAGCGCTTACGAGGGAGAAAATAAAGTCTGATTTTCAAGTTGTCAAAAAACATCATGATAAAATGCAACCAGTTTAGCCAGGAAACAAAATGGCCAACATAAACTGTTAGAAGCACTGCCACAGCTGTAAGCAGCTGTGGCCCCTGCAAGGCAACTCCTTCCTTTCTCGAGTCTTCCGTCTGGTTTATTTTTCCTTGCTTTAAGTGTGCATGCATTCTAGCACACAATCACAGGAACCTTTTTTTCTTTTGTCCATAGGAGCACTAACCCACCATTATCTTATTCTGCCTCCTTAATAAAGAAAAAAAAATCACATATAAAATGTAAGGGCTTGATAGACTTAATGCCTTCTTTTGCCCACATACATCTGTATTGTGGGCTGTGTCTAGCCACAAGCTTCATCTGCTGACCGTCAGTGGAAAGGTTCTCAGACAACAGAGGCAGACGTTTCCTGGAGCTACAGTGAGGAAAACTAGGCTATTTCATTTCTTGTTTTCATATGCTTCGGAATTTTTTTTTTTAACATGAAAAGGGTGACCAGTAACATTACTTTTGCTTCAACTTTCAAAATGCAAAAAGACACCATTTGCATGGTGATCATTATTTATTTATATATTCATTAACAGGCAAGGAAGCTATGCTCTTCTAAAGCTGAGTGGGAGCGTGTAGCCATGGCTCCCACTGCACAGCCTCCCTCAGGTGAGAGCTCTTTTGAAGTGGTTTTGTTGGCAATTAAGTGCAGTTATAGTCCTGACATGAAAGTAAGCATTTGTCTACCTGTCCTGAATGTTTAAAATCCGTGCCAGCAAGGAATCTGAAAGTGAAGGTTTCCGCAGGGTTGGGCTGCAGGCTCCATTTCTGAATAACACTGATGCTCCTGCTGTGGGCTTGCCAGCCACTTTCCCAGAGCCTTTACTGCATTATCCCGTTGAGTCCTCACAGCAACCTCCCTGGAGTCCTTGCTGCTAGGTACTTCATTAATATTCCAGGACTTCAGCACCCTGCAGAAAACCTTAAGCTCTGGGGTCCCCTGATTCCTTTCCTGTGATCCTGGGGTCTCCCAATTCTTTTCCTGTCATTAGGGCTCTCAGGAGCAAGGGTCAAGGATATGCAGCATGAACTAAGGCAAGCTCAGTTTTATGCATTCTCTTTTTGTTGTTCCTTTTTTTTTTTTAATCATGGGAATGTTTGTTATAAAATAATTAACAAAAGAGTACAAGGAAAAATACCCTTGTCCCCTCTTAGTTCCTTGCTTCCTCTCATGTTAGTACAACCCGTCAGGACTTTTTGAAGGTATAAACTTTTTGAATACGCATGTATGGGGTCAACACTGTATCTTGCTTTCCCCCTTCATCCTTTTTATGTCAGAATGTGGAGAGTGTTTCATGCTTCACAACAGGGACCCAGGAGACCTGTATAAATAAATCATACCATGCAGGTGCTCTTCGGCCTATGCTGAGGGATGTCTCAATACACTCATTATAAACTGAAAATGTCCAGTGAGAATGTATTTCCTGCCCAACCCCCAGAGCATCGTTCCCTTCAAAGCAGAGCACCCTGTGATGGATGTGCTGTTTACCTGCATGAACACACACACACACACACACACACACACGCACGCACGCACGCACACACACACACACACGGCCAGAAAAGAGCATCAGACCCTATGGAGCTGAAGTCATATATGAATCTACAAGATGCCCAGCTTGTTACTTGGGTGCAGAGATCCAAACTCTGATGTTCTTGATTGGGCAGCAAGTACTCTCCATCACTGAGCTATTTCTCCAGCCACCGCAGTGTTGTTGTTGTTGTTGTTTTTAATAGGTGAGTCAGTAGGTGAGGTTGTGGACTTGAGGGCAGGGGCTCTTAAAGGCCAGGGCCTCAGATCTCCCTGGGGCTGCAGTTGTATCCAGTTGTGAACTGTGTGACATGTATGGGTTCTGGGAATGGAACTCGGGTCCTCTGCAAGAACAGAGTGCTCATATATGTCCCTGAGCCATTTTTCCAGCCCCCAGTGTTTTAATAATCATGCTGTTTATATATTTTTGCTTGTTTGATGTTTCTATTGGATAAATTACTAAAAGCAACACTGCAGGCCAAAGGAGAGGACTCATAAAAATTTAATGAATAATGAAATTGTCTTCCAGAATTGCTCCAATTTCTGCTCTTACCAAGACTGTTTAAAAGTACTCATTCTCTTATGCCCACTAACACTAAATATATGCAAGGTTCTTATTTTTGCATCCATCACTACATAAAATGTATTACTGAAGTTTTTGCATTTCTTTTTTTATCGGTGTGTGTGTGTGTGTGTGTGTGTACACCTGTGTACATACGTATGTGACTGCAGGTGTCCTCAGAGGCCAGCAGAGGGCATTGGATCCCCTGGAGCTGGAGTTACAGGCAACTGTGGGCTGAGAACTGAACTCAGGTTCTCTCCAGGAGCAGAAAGTGCTCTTAACCTCAGAGCCATTTCTCCAGCACCTTTTGTGGCATTTCCTAAGCTAGGTCTCATATACTTTGTATGTAAATTGTTCCCATGTCCATCCCAAGTTCTCTTCTGTCTGCCTTTCTTCATCTCTTTGCACTCTTACGATCAAACGCTCCCTTCCAAGCCCCTTTCATAGAAGAGCTAATACAGAGAGCAAGGGAAGGTGAGCTGGCGAAAGCAAGCCAGCTCTTACGTTGGAACAGGAAGTGTCCCTATTTGGATATGTCTGTCTTGAAAGGAGGCTTCCCAAGGGGGGAATGCTTACCTCCAAAGGCTTCACCAGGAAAAGTACTTTCCAGGGGGAAGGTCTTCCTGGGACTCTCGTGATCAGAGTCAGTGCTTGCTTTGCTATCATGAGGTAGCAGTCTCCTGTCACAGGGAAAGGCAACTGCTTGGGGACTCACAGGCCTTTGACTAAGCGTTCACGCTTCTGCACCTTTATCTAAGGAGTTAATCGGAAATGCAGATAAAAATACTTTTTTGTCATATTATTGGTAATTAGACCAGAAAACTGAAAAAACTTTCAATGTCTGACATAGAGAACAGGTTAATGGTAACTCAGCGATATATTTACTGACATGCAATGTAGCATTTATACATTTTATTTAACTTTTACAGTGTGTGCCTGTGCATGTGTGTGTGAGTGTGAGTTCTTGGGTGCCACGATGCACGTGTGGAAGCCAGAGGACAAGTTGCAGAATGGTTCTCCTTCCAGGCTGTGGGTTGTCAGGCTTGGCAGTAAGTGCCCTTCATCCATCAGTGAGCCTTTCCCTAGCCCAGTTCAGCATTTTACAGTGATGCTGGAAGTGCACTCAGTGTCACGGCTGAGTATTTTATATTAGGTACATTTGCAAACCTCCCTCCCCCACACTGGAAGTAAAAAGTAAATGTATCAAAAATCCTAACTGGAAATTCTATTTAGATAAAGGAAATACCCCCTTGTCAACGTCTGGGCATATTTCATTTGGAGGAAGCTACCCACATACTGTGGTCAGAAAAGGTGTCTTTAAGTGAGGAGAAGTAAAATTTCAAAACCTTTTTAAAGTATCCTGGAAACTTGAGAACTAAACCCAGCACCTGCCTTAGCAAAGTTCAATTCTCAATGACTCATAGGTAAGAAATCCACCACACCTGTGCTGTGATTGGCACTCAGCAGGCACCTGGTCCCGCCCACATGCTCCTTTTCTGTTCCTACGACAGAAAAGGAACAGAAAAAGGAAAAGAAAACTCAGAAAGGAGCCCCAAGAACTAAGACAAAGGAATTTTCTAGAAGTCGTCAGGGTCTTCTCTCTGTCCTAAGGAAGGTTTCAATGGCTCAACTTGGGGATCCACTTGGTCCTAAAAGTTACCCAGAGATTGGCCAAGAAAATGCATTCTCTTAAGCCCCCTTGCAAACCAACTGCGTGCTCAAAGGCTCCGCACCAGAGAACTGACTGCTGGTCTCTGGATATCGGCAGTGTTGTGAGGCTTTGTTTCCTCGTTCCCTAGGCCCACATCGTCCAGAAGCAATGTAGATCACTTACATGGCACCTGGTGATAGGGCCCTCCCGGACAATGGTACTGATAGTTCCATGGCGCTTGCGGGGAAGGGCTGAGAGGCAGCCTCTGCCCATACGCTGGATACCTCTGAAGTTCAAACTGAGGGAACTCCCTGGACCTCAGAGGCCCAGGCAGGTCCTGCAGGTAACATGTGGAGGTGAGGGGCAGTGGCCTTTCCAGCTGCCTGATGCCCAGGACATCTTGGGGCTGAGAATCATACCCGGTGTCTATCGTGGGCACATCTGGGGCTGCTGCTCTGTTCCTTGGGGGCTGAGGCCGGGGCCGGGTCATCGTCTCTTGGCCACCAATGGAGGAGTCTGCCAAAGCATTAGGGAAACTTGGGTCCGAATTGTCTGAGTCATGGCCAGTGTCGGGAGAAGCTGCCGAAAGCTGAGATCCCAGCCATCTATTGTGTTTCTCCGTAAGCGTAAAGCGGCAGTATGGAGGAAGAGCTCCGAGCGCAGACTCAGCCTCAGCCTCGCTGGCTTCAGACGAGCACCAAGGAACATCTCTGCCGGGATCAGGGTGCCTTCTAAGGAAACTGGCTTCGCTCTCCTCCAGGACTTTGGTGCGCAGGCAGGCAACTTGCTGTGACACGGGCTGGTGATGCGCAAGTTTCAGGGAAGGGCACTGGAGTGCAGACAGGCTGCTGGGTGCCATGTTCCTTGTATTTGGGGCAGGTGGTTCCAATTCCTCTTCCAGGGAAGGGTCTGCGATTGGTTTCAGCAACTGACTCGGGAATGGCTCTGATTCATCAACCTCCTCCGGAATGCTTCGATTCATTCTAGTTTCTGGAACAAAAGAAAACATGCCAGTCTCAGAAGACAGGTCAGTGCTCGGAGTCCTGATTTTATGACCTTGAAGGACCCGATTCAGGATGTGTTTTAAATTAACAGCAGTGTTGACACCGCTGTGCTTGCAGGGCCCCAATCACATAAAGTTGTTTACTTATCCTCCAGGCAGCGGCATTATGCTTATTAAGATATTTTATCTGGAAGTCGTTCCACGGTGGGGATTGCTTACCAGCAAGGGGAAAGCCTGGGCGAAAATCAACTGTCACGTATTGAGGAGAGAGAAATTGTCTTAAAGCGGGCTGCTTTTGTGTTTGGAATGCGTGATGAAAAAAAAAAAAAAATCCCAGGGACTGATATGGGACTGTCTCCAGGACACAGTGTTGGTTGTTTTTTAAAAGAGAAAGAGCGGGAGGGAGGGAGGGAGGGAGGGAGGGAGGGAGGGAGGGAGAAAAGCTGAACAGTACGGTATAAGGCTGCTATGCATGTGCTGGTGTGTGTGTGTCCTGCTATACGCCTGCAGGATGTGTGATGTACGCAGCCTCACACTAAGGCAGTAGAGAGGCAGGGCGGGAAGAGTTTCACCTTTTGAACTTAACTCCCCCCCCTCCGCCCCCATTTGGTTATTGCTTAACTGAAAACTAAATAAAAGTTTCTTTAAAAAAGAAAGCTTAAAACACATTGAAACAGGTCACGGTGACATTTTCCACTTAACAACCTGGGTCATTTGGAGGATGTCTTTACCTCTGGGCACTGTGCCTTCGACAAAGGTAGCCATGACCAGAGGCTTGTTAAACTGTCCCTCAGCCCCCAGCGCCAAGCCTAGCATCCAAGCAATATGCTTTTATCTCTAAAAATCGGCTTAACACGATGAGGAGGGGGAAAAAAAGCTTCCCTTGTCTGTCTAATCATTAGCTCGTTGCTGCGACGCCCAGCTGTAGGGCAAACAGAGGAAAGCCTGGGAAATAGGGTGCTGTGGGGACACTGGGGGCTCACAGGAGGCCGCAGAGCAAGTGTTGTAAGAGAGTAAGTATGTGTGGGAAATCCCAGCGGTTTATTCTACAGAGAGCCTTTGTACACAGCACACTTCAAATGCTAGAAAGAAGAAGGCTGTGTGCGGAGGGCTGGGCTCCGACTTTGGATCTATGCAGCCTTTGAGCCACCACCGTTCACTGAGAGCCTACTGTGCCCGGAGTCACAGAGTACATAAATTATTGTTCTAAGATGGCTCTTGGAGACCAGAAATGTATTGTCTCCTCCACCCTGTGCCTGCTCCAGGGGACGAAGGCAGCCCTCGAGGAGGTGGTCCCCTTTCACAGGGTTAGGCAGCAGTTTGCTTCTAGGTGGAAGCCAGGGCTTTTCACATAGTGGGCAAACAGCTACCACCGAGCCAGTGCTTTGGTGTCTACCCAGAGGGCTTAACTGTCTACAGAGAGCCAGGCACATCAGCACATGCCTACTGATTGTAATTATTAAGGAGGCTGAGGCAGGAGAATCACTGGAGCCCGGGAGCAAAACACTCGTCTCACATGGCCCCTCAGGTAAACCTGTCACAGCAACGAAAACCCTCTCCGTAAAACGGTAGCATCAGTTATCACTAAAAAATTCAAAGCAACTCTTGGGGCTTTAAATGAGTTCACTGCCAAATACAGGGCGAGCCCTCACTCCACATCATAGGCCCTCCCCAAGTAAAAGCTCAGTTAAGATTGTTTTGCTTTTGAAAATATCTACAAGTGGTACAGAATGAAAGAGGATGGAAGCCTAGACGGTGAAAGCTTCTCTAAATTATTTCTAACAAGTTGGACAGCGCCGCGCTATCTGCAGGTCACTGAAAGCATGTGGCAAGGCAAAGGCAGCCTACCCCAGGGCCTTTGCACATGTCGATCTCCTTTAGAATACTCCTCTCTCCAGATGCCTGCATGGCTCCCCTCCATCCTCCTTAAAGGTCTTTCTTCAACTGTCCCCTTCTAAGTGAGGTCGCCCTGGGCTCCCTTGATAAAGTGTTCCCACTCTCCCTCACCTCTGCCCCCTCTGCTCTTCCTTCCTCTCTAGCAACCGCCCCCCCCACGCTTCCCGCAAAGATACAGCATGTAAATACTGAATCCTGTTTCCAGAGTATAATTCCAGACAGCGTGACTTCTCATCCTCGACACACAGCCGCAGACTGACACCTCGAGCGCCTGGCACTAGCATACGCTCAGGGAAGGTTTTCTGACGGAATAAACGATGGCGTCTGCCGTACAGCGGTGCTCTGCAGCGGGTTGGGCCACTGTCGACAGCGCCCTCTTTTGCAGACATGGCGGAGCCTCCCAGCTCAGGGCCTGGTCAGAACTGGCAGGGCATGGTCAGCCCTGCCCCACCTCCCTGGCAGTCACAGGGAGCAGCTGCACAGGGATTAGTGATGCCGTCTGAACAGCAGTCAAGTGCTGTAAAGTTATGACCCCTTAAAAACAGCCCAGTATTTCACCACCGCTAACCATTTCCCACTTATTTCCTTCTGGGTTAGCCCCAGGTTCCAGTCACGTGACTCTCACCCTGCTGTGCTCTGTACTCCAGTGCGGAAAAATCCCTCTCACCAGCCTTGACCTTGGCAGAAAGGCCCTGACCTCTGAGTGGACAGAAGGCCTGGTGGTCAGCGAGTGGGAGCCCCTGGGGCCTGCGTTGCTGGGGCAGCTCAGAAAGACTGCAAAGCCAAGGCTTGTCAGGCCTGGAGAATAAGAGCATGCCTGCTCCACTGCGGCCCATGAGGAAAGCTGGTGGGCGGGGTCTGGCTGGGGATCCTCTGGGGTTCCCAGGCCAGATGCGCAGGGCGCTGCTTAGGCACCATGATGTGGCAGGATTTCTATGTCTGACTCTAAGTTCCTCAGGTAAACAGATCTCCTCCCCCCCCACCCCCACCCCCACCCCCACTCCCCCCACCTCGCTTTTCCAAGGGGAATAAACTGTCAGAATTGTAAAAGCCCGTGCCCTTTGACAGAGTAATTTCACTTCTAAGAATCTCCTCTACAGAGAAAAGCACATTGTTCCAAATGAAGTCTATAAAGATAAGTGATGCAGCAGAGACTCCAAATAAAACGGCTCTGGGTTTTAAAAGTATGTATCGGACAACGAGCACTCTATCTTTTAACAAATAAGTGCCATGTGAACTGAAGTGGGTACAGTTCCAAATGTATTGTTTAAAAAAAAAAAAAAAAAGGAGAGTGTGCCACATGGCCTCGTGACGTAAGACCGCACATGTGCATCTAATCTCTGAGAAAGCGGAATGGCGGTTACCTCTGGGAAGGGCGCTAGGGGCGGGGACACTCAGTTCTCAGAACAGCCTGCATTTTCCTAATTTGTACTGACTGGATATCTATCTGGCTGACCCTCCCTGTTCAAAGAGTAAAGACTGCGTCACTGACCTGCGTTCACAGAGATTAAGAACCAATACCAGCCCTGACCACCCCCTCCGCATCAGGGAGAGGTTTTAGGATACAAAAACCAAAACCAACCAAAGATGGAGGACCCGCTGGGCCTGGGCACAAGCTGCAAACGGGCTAGGTACCGAACAGCTGCCACAGTGAGCTGCCATGGCTACGTACGTGGCAGGGTCCCATGCCCTCTGCTCTAAACCAAAGACAGCAGCCCCCGTCCTGCACTCGCTGTGTTTCCAGTTCTTCTTTCTCTTTGTGAGAGAGGGTCTCACTGTGTGTTTATCTGTGGCTGCCCAGGAACGCCACCGCCCAGGCTGGCCTTGGTGTAGACCTTGGCCTCCTGAGTGCGGGGAGCTTTGTTTGTTTTGCTTGAAATTACTTTTATGTGTATGAGTGTTTTGCCTGCCTATGTGCTGGTGTACCACATCTGTGCCTGGTGCCCTTGGAGGTCAGAGGAGGACATGGGATCCCCTGGAGCTGCAGCTGCAGGTGACAGGAACCGAACCTGAGTCTTCTCAAGACCAGTGGTCACTTAGTCCCTGAGCCGCCCCTCCAACCCTCTCCATTCTCCTCATCTCTCCATCACTTTCTTCACCTCTCCCAAACCTCTAGCTTTCCTCTTCCTCTCCAACGTCTGAGGCTCACATCCTCTACCCTTCCCCAAACCCCAGCAGGAATGTCTTTCCAGACGAGACCTTACCCAGCACTCATCCACACATTGGCACTCTGCTGACAGCGTGAGCCCCTGCTTTCCCTTCCACAGAACTGTTCACGTTCCTCCCTCCCGCCTCTCTCTGTGCACAGCTCAGCCAGGCTCCCTGAGCTGCCAGCAGCTCCGCTCAGATGTTTTCCCAACACCCACTTCCTACAGCAGCATGTCACAGCCAGCTCACTGCTCTCAGAGAGGCGCCCGTTAGCCTTCACGGCACCCTTGCGATCCCAGCAGGGCCTCTGTCCCTCTGGTCATACTGGCCTCCCTGCTTGCAGGACCATCTGGGGACTTCTTTCCCCTTCCTATTTGAGAAGCAAGTCTCTCTGAGGACACAAGTTAACCAACCTAAGGCTGCATCCTCACAGCTCCCTGTGGCTTTGACGAACAGGCGGCCTTACCCCGAACCAACATGAACTCCTCTGGTGTGACATCTACACAGAACTTAACTGTGTCCAGATTTTGATTGCTTCTCTACCAGCTGTGTAATTAAATGTTATGGCCACGACAGAGTTACTTAACTTCTCTGGGCCTCATGTTCCTCAGCTACCAAAAAGAGGGAATAGTAACTCTCTCCCCTAGGGCCATTAGGAGGCTGAAAGGGTACATCATGACCAGTGCAGGGCCTGGTCTACACCCAACTCTAAGAACAGTTACTGTCACCCCGGCAAGACCCTTGGCTTTGGACTAGGGTGTCTAGATGCTGTCCCCTGCGGGTATACCAGGTACCAGGAGTGTCCCCGGAACCTGGCGTACGGAGACTGTAGCTGTCTAACCAGGAAGTGGTGAAGCCTCCCACATTCGATTCACATCAGCTCATCTGGTCTTGGGCCACAGGCGGGGTGAAAGGAACCATCCTGCTGTTCCTTCACGAGACA